TCAGCAAGGTACTCGTTTATGAAAACATCTTTCAACAGCCTCCAGCAATACTTCAGTCTATCGTAAATACTTAACTCCAGTCTTGTAACAGGAGTGACTCAAACTGATGGATGATGAAAAATTTAATCATTAGACTTTAAGAAGCTATTGCTTCTGTCCTGTTCCTGCACACACCAAAACCCTTTTCAGCTATTCTTTTGGGAGCGCCACAGTACTTGTCTCTCATTCAGACGTATCTGGTTTCCTAGACAATGAACTTTCTTGTGTTTGTTTCTGCCTTTGCCCTATTAATTTTGCAGTAAGGTTTGATTACTCTGCATAGTTTAAATCATGCTACCAATGTCAATCCTGATTTGCTTACTTAAACTCATTCAACTTTGATCAGGGAGTGCATTTTAGAGCATGCTAAATTAATACATAAGAAGACTAAATGCTAAGGAAAGTGCTTTTTTATCCTGACTAACTCCAGTGGACTATTAGCAGGTGCAGAAAAAGTCTGCTGTGAAATAGCCCTGCTTACAAGACGACCCGGGGGATGAAATTGTCCTTTTGTCAGTGAAACTAGTCTGTTTGCAGTTCACTGCAGCTTTTAGACAATCCCAAATCCTCTGTGGGGATCTCTTGCAGATCCCATCCAGTATTTCCCCAGAGATCGTTCCTTGCATGATCACAGCATATGCTGTGATCAGATCTCTGAGATGTCACCCTTGCAGGACTCTTCAGTTATGAGAAGCTCCGATATTGCCTTCTCCACTTGCTCCCTAAACAGCTGCTCTTTCACGTAAAGAAATCCTAGACATTTTCTCACTCCAATGCAGCCGCTGCCTTATCTGAAGTTAGCAGAAAGCTAACCTCATAATCAGAAGTCTTGCAGATAAGCTCTTGCACCGCCAGTGCCCATCCTCCCCCTTGCAGCCAGGCTCTCGGCACCTCTGAAAAAAAAAAGCCTTATATGCAGCGAGGGAACCCGTAAGGGGTTCGGTCTGGAAAGGGGGAGAGGGAAGCAAGGGGAAGGCAGAAGAGAAGAAAGAGTTGATGGTTCTTGGGGCCAGCCAGGACCCCACAGCACTTTACCTGCCTCTGCTGCGTGTGTCTCCTTCCCCAAACTCGCAGTGCAACGAGCTGGGCGGCTCCAGCCAGGGACCCCGAGAGCAGGGGGGCAGGGACTGGGGCCAGCACCGCCTTGTAGCCTCAGGTGTCTGCCCAGCAGCACCCAGCCTTTGGCCAGAGAGGAGGGGAAAAGCCTCTGCTGGGGGGCACAGAGGGCGAGGGACTCCCATAGCAGGCAGAAGAGGACACTTCCCCGCCCAAGGTGAAGAGCCCTTCGAGCTGTGCGGGGGAAACGGCTCCCTGCTCCCCTCATCTCCCCACCCCAGGCACGGGCAGGGGGCCCTGGGCTCCTGGGGCAGAACACAAACTGACTGTACCTGGGATCACCCTGGAAAAGGGGGCGGTGGTTTCTGCAAGACGAAGAGGTTCCGACTTCGTGTTGAAAGTTTCCAGCTAAATCACACACATCTTTTTCCTGCGATGCAACACAGCCAGCGCCACCCTGACAGAACAGACAGTTCAGTTACTCTCCAGGGCAAAACACTGCACATTAGTGAGAACACCGAGGTGCGACTTGCACACCGTCAACCACGGCAGGACAGGGACAGCGGAGGGATGAGGCAGGTTCCTCAAACCTAGGAGTAATGAATTTGGACATCGGACTTGCAATAAATACTTGTCCTCTTGGATGACACCCTAAAGTATTTCAGGCAACCTAATCAACTACTGGACCCGAGTTTCTTTGCATGGGCTGTGTGAGCAGACACTGACTGCACACAAATGCACTCTCAAGGTCTGGAAAGAGAAAGTCGTCCCTCCCCTGACACAGTGAGCCATGCTGCGCCCCCTCCTTCACAAGTAACTATTTTAGAAGTAGGGGTGCAGGTACAGTCCCTCGGGGCTACTCTATACATTCAACAGGACTAAGCAAGTTTTTGACTGTTGAACATGGTCCCTTAGAGCTTAATCTTACTCTGTTCATAGCTTTTCCCTGTTATTGCTCACGTTTTAATACATGTTTTTAATTCCCCATCTCAAGTGTAAGAATACTTGTTTAAATACAGGAAACAATAGGAAATCACAAGAAAAAAAGCCACTATTATTTACACTGCACCTTCTGTCCCAAAACCTCTCAAAGCTATTACAAACCAAAGTCCTAAGTGACAGCACTAAAAGATAAGAGACACGAAATGCAGTCTCGTGTGTGATTTTTAACCTGTGGGATTAAAACACTTAAGTACCTGTGAAGACATTTGTCTTAATACAGATTTGCTACATGAAGCTAAATTCATTATGCATTAAGAAACATATTTTCCCCACTACTAGATGAGTACAAATGAAAGTAACAAACCAAAATTGAATGAATTCCCTCCAGAGCATACACAGCTCATTTTTCCAACAGGCAAATCTGATTGTACTCTGTGCCAAAATTCAACAGCACATGCTGAAACAAGAATAGTACTGAACATGAATTACTGTTGAAAAAACCCCACCAGTCAAACCTCTCACTCCGTACTACAGAATACTTTCTATTTCAAAGATGTCTGAGATTAAATTAGCAAGAGAAATTACTAACCATCACGCAAGGAAGTGCAAGGTAAACCTAAAAAGACATGCTGAAACATCCTACCTGGCATAAGATCACCAATCGTTAAAAAAAAAACCAACAAACCACCCCAAAACCAAGACATTTCTTCAGACTTCAAAAGCAAAAGGTAAGTCAGTGCTTACTTTACTTACCAGCTGGTACACAAGCTGAGGTTTCTCTGCTCTCTCACAACACTTACATCCCAAGCAACGTAAGACATAGGCCTGCCAGTTCTGCACTACTTATGATGCCGCTTGTTGTTTTAAAGGAAGGTTACATCCCAACTGCCAGAAATTATCCATTTTAAACAAAGTTTTTAAAAAAAAAGACATGTTAAAATAAATAGCATTTATTTAGTGTTCCTGAAGAAAAGAAAACGTCCCAAGCTAGCAAAATCTTCAAACCCAGGTCTCTATAGCCTGATCCTCAGAGGCAGTTTGACACTGAAATTTGCGAGAAACTGCCTCCAAATTTTTTAAGCTGAAAACTTTTGGGAACAATTTGCTTATAAAGTTCGTTATTAAACCAGTTTTGGTAAGTTCTACTATAACCCCTTTAGCTGGAAATGGCATATGCAAAAGCAATGAGGATTTATGAGGCTTTGAGAAGAACATGAAGGAAACCCAACCAAAAGTGACACATTTTTTGTGGACTGTTATCCCTTTAAACAATACTTAAATGCTGTTTAAATAAATGCAAGGTTGTGCTGCTACTGAGAGCTTGATCTCAACACAAAGAGCAGTTGCTGCAGACAAGCGTGGCTATGGTTACAAAAATGAACACAAAAGTTAATGCAAAAAGTCATCTCAAAAAAAGTTTATTAGCATGATTAAAAACATGTGAAGAATGACAGCAAGAGAGAAAGTAACTTAGCATGGAAGAATATCCATTTCAACAGTTTATATTCAACAAGGCTTGAACTGAATGGATAACTTTATTGCCAGATTTCACTTGATTTCTTTAACAACAGTTCACATTGTATCAGTTTCATAATTAGGACTATTGCTTTTGTTTGGATCTGATCCCTGTTGGTAAATATAAAAAAAAATATCCCCCATTACTGCTGGGTTGCAGAATGCATTGTTGGTTTAAGAGCTGGTAAAAAAGAAATTCTCAACTGAAGAGTCTGTTTTAAAAAAAACGCCTTTTTTCCTAATCACACGACAAAGAAATACATTAGTATTTTGGCCTTTAAATTTCTTACATGGTATTTATTTAGCATGGCAATCCCCGAATTCCCTCCCTTTAAGTACCATAAATCAAACCCCTCTTTCAGAGGCTGCTTCTTGGGTTAGATTCTGGAGATTTACTTCATACACGCTTACACTGGCTTGAGGACGAAGACAGCATCATCTAGTACATAGTAGTCATTATACATATCACCTTCACATAGGTATGGCAGTCTGGTGAAAGCCTCTATGGCAAAACCAGCTCTACTGAAAACTTCTGGCAGGCTATTCACCTGTTCTTCCCAAGTGTGCCCTTTGATTTCCAAAACTTCTGAGGGCTTTTCCCACTTGCCACCTACTGAGAAAACAAAACAGTTTTGTTTAAATGATAAAAACTTTATTGTGTGTTGTATTTTCTTACAGAAAGCATGTTACACAGATTATATTCTGTTCCGCTCCCAACCGGAGGTTGACAAGCTGTTTGTGGAGCTGTTGTGAGATCAGTTCAAGTTTTTGCCTCTTGTTCAGAAGCAGCTCCTTCTTAAGGTTATCTTTTGTTATATTTTTAACTAGCAGTTCCAAGACTGGCTGAAAAGTTAACTTCCACTAGTGAGGCTGGTGCTCATGGGCAGACAGACTATTTAATAAAGATCTTTTACAGAATTAAAAAATTCTTTCTTTATGCCTGCTGCCTGGCCAAAGGTGGCTTCAGGTAATTGCAGTAAATAGAGCCAGCAAGTTGAAAATTATGATACACCGTGAAGCTTCGATCAGTAGACCACCATATTATAACGGATGGCTACAGACTCTTTGTTCCCCCAGTGGCCACCTACTAGCTGACACTGTAACGACTGCTTCGGGTCCATACAAAATTAAGAAGCTGAACACTTTTAGCATGCTGGAAAACATGCTGTCATTTGTGATAGCCAATGAAATAATCTGAAGGATTATAGGTACAACTCTCAGAAGTTCAAAATTTAAAACTCTTCACTCCTTTTCCAAGTGAAGTCATCCACAACTAACAAATGTTTTCTGGTTTGGTCTGTACCTTTAACTAGTTTGCTAAACACCAACAGTAAACACTCTTCTAAACAGGAACTTCTAAATCTTGTGATTCAGAGCGTTCTGCAACTCCAAAGATTTCCTAAGTTCCTCTTCCTTTGAGCAGAATCATTTACAGAGACATACAAGAAATGGCATCTTTCAACAAATTAAAAAACATGTTAATGCTGGCATTTGACTGGATTCTGTACAGTGCTGGTAAGACTTTTTTTTTAAGCTTCTTACATTTTCCCATGTCATAGCAGTTAAACAAGATAGAAAATGTTGTGGTTATGATTTGCAACATAGCTACAAAGTAAGAGCAGTAAGAAGTTTTGCTGAGAAATCAAGCTAATTTCTGCTGTCTTCATACAACTTCCAAATTAAACAGCTATTAGCAAATGCTTTTTCTTCTAAAAGCCTCAAATGCTCCTGTAATCTACGATTTCTGGGTCAAATCGTACTGCACTTCCCTGCAAAGAATGCTCCAGCAGCAGCAGCATGGTTTCAGTGCAGCTGTGCTGGTTTGGGAGGAGGGTTTGGGAAGGTCAACAGACAGTATCTACATGAACTGAAGCCATAGAGTTCTGCTCAGAAAGGCCACCTAGAGCCCTAGAGCAACGTGGAAAAGAGAAGGGGATCAACTGCAGAAGCACAAGCTACTGCCTTTTCCCACACAGGGTGCAAATACACCGACACCTTATGTTACTACAATCTTCAGATTGCTGTAGCTGCTATGGAATGGCTTTGATGTTGATCTGACACAGAAGCAGAGTTTTCTTTTATTTCTGTGGAAGTCACAAACATTGAATCTGCTTGGATTTGAGCCGTAAAACACTCAGTGAGAAAAATGATGAAGGGACAGTGCTGATTGTCCACTATAGACAGGCTTATAAATTACGTATCAGCAGTAGATTAAGAGACTTCAGTTTATTTTTCTTCTAATTTGTTCTTTTCTAGGAAGTAGAAAAGAATGCTGTTAAGCTACTACCTTCATTTTCACTGCAATAATCTCAATTCCATTGTTTAAATAACTAAGCAATTTATTTGAATAGAATTAAATATACTAAAACAGTATTAAATTATGAATTGCAATAAGGACTTAACAAAATCTCCCAGACCAGTCACATTAAACCTTACATTTCGGTTCCTTAATTAGAATTCTTTTCTCTGATTAACCTTCCTGTTTTCTCTGCACACATTTTTAAATGTCAGAACTAACAAGCAATATTATTACCCTTAGAAACCCAGAGTCAATATATGTGATGAAGTGGAAGAATGTCTAGGAACTATTATGAATTCTAATCAATGTTATGAAATTGCTAAATTATAAATGTCTCAATTTATGACATTTCCACTGCCTGCCATCAGGCTGTCTCACTTGGCTCAAATCAAGTGGAGGAAAGAGAAAGCCTTGCAGAACTACTCCACTGAGCATCTAGAGTTGTGTCACATGACACCCACCCACACACTGCCCATTACCCCCTCAAAATCCCCAAAACACTCAGGACTAAATCTGAAGCATGGTACTACACAAAGCATTCTTTTGGTCTTCTCCAGGGCCAAAGGAGTCATATATCTAAAATAATGTGACTGTATCTTCTCTATAGTTTTTCAGAAAAACAGAAACCCAAGCACATTACCACATAGGTAAAACTTAAATGAACACAAGGGCAAGCTGTAGGTATTATCTAAACAAAGTTTGCTGGAAATAACCTTAAAAATTTCCAGTTTGAAACACAGTTGGTTTTCCTCCTTTCCTCCCACCTTTCGAATGAACCAGGAAGTAGCTTATTTTATTCTTAGATTGTGCTCTACTTTTCAACTGTCCCTCACATTACCGATATTTTACTTTCAACAGGTGCTGCAGATACCTGCCAAGTCACTGTAACACAACCCGGATTTCAGGAAGCTGACTACTCTACGCACACTGTTGTCCTAACATGTGCTTTCTCTGCCTCTGGATGCCCCTCGTCCCCGCCTCAAGTTCTATGGTTTCGCTTTTTAACGGATAAACATGAGGATTTGTGTACTCCTGGATGCACAGATCATCAGAAGTACATAGTTAAGTTATCAGAAAATAACATTTCACTTCAGATCAATGATCTGACTGTAGATGACAATGCTGTTTATATCTGCGGAATAGCATTTTCAGACTCAAGTTCACCCCGTTCTAAACAAACAGGAGATGGAACAGTACTAACGAAAACAGGTCAGTTGATAATTTCTTCTTAATGAAGCAGCTTAAAAGAAAGAAATTATCTTTCCTAAATACTCTATTTACACTTTCAAGAATGGCATTTAAGATGGAAATACCAACAAAACCATTAGGAGCAGTATAACTATACTAAAATATTAATAGTAAACCCATGGGATTCTACAAATAAGCATTGCTAATTAGACTGTTCTGTCATATGATGCAAATGACTCTCAAATTCTTCAAAAGAAAGAAGTTTTGTACTCGTGTTATCTAACCATACTCTACATCCTCTTACATAAAGACTTTAATGGCTATCAGAAAGGAAGTATCAAGAGAAAAATGAGAAGTAGAGAAACTGACATTTAGTGGAAATACGTGCAACAGAGTACAGGGTTGCAGAACTGGGGATTCACTGTGCTAACCTGAGGAAAAAGTTTTAGTTCCGAACCTTTGTATCATTTGCTTTCTAGTTAAGAACGTGATGGGACTTCATTAACTACATTTCAGTTTTACATGCCTAAAATAGAAAAAACCCAACAACCTAGCTGGATTATGACTTTCCCTATATTCCTTCCTTCCTTCCTCTATCTAAATGCATTTCTGAACAAAAGTCTCTAAGCTTTATTAAGATATTCCTTTAAAAGAGCAGAAAACTGGATTCTATTCTCTGCCTGCCTCTAAAGGAAGAGTTCATAATCAAAAATAACAAGTCTCATTGTCCTTGCAAACAGTCAGGGAAACAAAAGAAAAGTGATCTCACTAAGGAATTTAGACTGAAATGAACCAGAAAATATTGATGGGTATAAGGTTCTTTTAGTTCCTCAAAGGAAGGGGGCTGAAATGCAGAATTTTAAGAAAATTATGTGAATCAGAAGAATTGTCCTTTATTCTAACACTCATTTTTACTAAAGGAGCAGAGAAGCAGCACAGCAATGGAAAACTCGTCTTCACCTTCATGATCATCGCCTCATCCTTACTGTTTCTATACAGTACTACTGTATTCACATTCTTTGTAGTCTCCAAGGTAGGCTTAAAGTGTTTTTTCTAATTTTGTTCATTTTGTAAATCTAAGCAATGTTAACATCTCCATAAGGAGAATAAAAAGACATTCCTAGACTCCTTGACTTTTACGATTAAGTTTTAAAGAGGTGGTTGGTTGAAGTTCATATGCTGCACACATCTGCAAACTCTGTGCGGCACATATCTGTACTCTCAATAGCGACCGCATTTTCTTTTTTAGCAAAGCATCTAAAAGAAAAGGTATTGTAAAGTTAAAGTTATCCTAAGAGTAATAATCAGCAAGTTGGAGATTATCTATCAAGGCACACCCAAAAAGCAAAACTAGAAGTTACCATCATAATTTATCAACTCTCTGGATTACTTTCCAGTAAAAGTAAAATAATTTAAATTTAATGTCAAAGTCTTTGTGAGCTGCAGTAAAGTCACTGCAGACTGACTTCACTTGCATAACAAAATCCTATTCATACATCATACAGAAGAGAGACCTCAGTAAAATTTAAAAGTATCAGAGACTTGGAAGAAGCTTTACACTTACAGGAAACAAACACAGTAGAATGTACCTGGTTAAAAATTATGTAACTACTGGATTTTTTTTTTTTGGTAACCTAGAACAAAATTTGTGTTTAGTTAAAAACAAACACGCAAAGCTGCAAGTGGTATCTTTACATGATAATAAGACTTTGACATGAGAATGAGGACTTCACAGTCCGAAGTGGTATGATATGTTAAAAAGGTTCTTTGCTGTAGCAATCACTGGCTCGGCTAAGAGACAGCACAGTCTCTTTGATTTTTGTTTTTCTTTAAACAAGGCGAAGTAGTATAGTGGGAAAAATTAATCAAGCTTTCTTCATGGGAAAAATGTATCTGTGATACCACTGGTTTATTTTGGACTATTGGATAGTGCTTCAGGCAGATCCTGCTGCACTCAAAGCAAAAATACTTACAACATCTACTACCAGAAGCTGAAAAAGGCCTTACATGCTTGAAAATGCCTCTGATTTTTCCAATGGTATAAGCTGATCTAATGAAAGACTTCTATCTACAAAGTGTTGGACGCTGCAAAAGGGCAATGCTTTTAACTGCTCTGCTACCTTAGCAGTTGGCTTCGCATCTCATGTTTTAATCATTGCTTTTTTTTATTTTAATATCCCTTCCTCCAGTTAAAACCAAAGCTGCTACAGAAAAGTGGGAATGAAGATCAAAGAAAAGAGAACTGTGTATGTTATCACTTTGTTTGCATTGAGATTCAGAGCTTTCTTTCTTTTTTATTGGGCATCGATTTTGTATTAATTGATGGTTCAGTTAAAGTGACATTCAGAACTGTTAAGGCTTCACTTAGATTTGTATAAAACTAGTTAATGATTTTACATTTAGCTAATTTTAACTAATTAGCTAATTTATTTTTAATGAATTGGATACAGGATAAAGTCAATCTATGTAAAGGCCATCTCTAATACACAGCTTCCTTCAGGTTTTAAGTAAATTTTTTTTTAACTTCTCCCAAAAATAACAGGTTTTGCTATAAATTTTTTGTTTGTTTAAACAGTGCACTCAGGTAAGCCCTAATGTATTTGAAATAAGTCTATTAAGAACTTCTATCACCATGTATCCTTGAATAAAAATCCAAACCCCTGCATTTAAATATCCATTAAAGAACGTATACATGTTAACAGATGTAATATCAATTTAAAACCCTGCTGCTTGCCACAACATATGTTCTTAAAGTCTTGTAAGTAACATTCCCAAAGACATACACAGGGAAAAGATCAGAATTATCAAAGGTAGAAAAAGATGTTTCCCCAAACTTCAAGTGCAGCACTGACCTAAAATATTTTAAATAATTTGCAGAAAATCAGTAGTGGACGAAAAATTTTTCAAGCAATTGCCCAAGAACTTCAAAAGCAGAGGTTCGCTGAACATGGCCGACAGCCTGTAAGTATCCATCAGCCAATATTGAATTTTATTGTATTTTGCCAAGAAAAGCTCTCAACAAGTGGTTCTAGACTGTTTGGTAAGATGCATAGAACTATGAAGAGTTCATTTTTAAAAAATATTTCTATTGTAGTTCCTCTTGCTCCCTTAGAGCCCAGGGTAGCTACATGACAGAAACATAACAAAACTGTCATAAAAGCTCTACCACATTCTTAAAGATACTTTTAACCCTCCTTCAACTTACATAGCCTAAACTCTGTAAGTTCAAATCATTCAACACCAAAAATTCAGCATCACTGGGTAAAGCCACAAAACTTATTCCATCATTCCAATTTATGACACTAAGTCTTGTATGACCATATGACAATCATTTTGCATATGCTGTATAAGTTACAAAAAAAGCCCAAACTTCAGAAGGCAAGCAAAGAAAATGGCTTCAAAATCCTGCTTCAAAAATGTTGTTTCTATTAAGAAACAGTACAAATTCTTTCCTATTCTGAGCATGGACTGCACCACTTCAGAGATGCAAGGAGAAACCAAAAGAAACATAGAACAAAGTCAAACACTTCTCCTCTATGCATTTTTACTTCATTTATTTCCTTACAGCCCCCAATTGTTTCCCTCTGTAATTACCCCTTTAAAGACCTCACGTCCCTGCTGACATGACCTGGTCCTTGGTTTGAGCATCAGACATAAACACAGTGAAAATAAGGGGTATGTTTTTCTGCCTCTCTGCTCCCTGGAGATTAGGAAAAGCCAAGAGGAAAAGAAGTATGTTTTGAATCCTGTAGACGCCACATGGACAAAAGCAGCAGGATAAGTGGGGAGAAAGGACTTTACTGAAACACTAAAGGGATGGAGTTTGCCTCAAAAAGGAAATTCTGCCTTTATTAAAAAAAAAAGTTCACATCAGTAACGAAATACTTCTACATTTCTCCCCTAGGATGATCTGGAAGATGACACTGTTTATCAGAACAGATGAGCATGTGCAGTAGTTCAGATTTGTCTAATACTTCCCATGCAAGCAATGGGGCAGATGAAGTTAAGCTTCTTCACAGACTTCCTTTGCTTTGAAAAGAGAGGAGAAAACCTTGCAGCGCAGTGTTCTTCAAGAGTTTTCTAAACAGATCACCAAACCCAAGTGCATTGTACATTACATCTGTGTTATATATTACTTCAATTTTCCATTCTGCAAGAATAAGAACCATGGGAAAAGACTTGACCTTTCATAAGATAACCATTAATGTTTCATAAAAGTTTCCTTTTTCAGTTTAATTTAATTCTGTGTCTTTTTTTCATTTTACATAAATTTACATGTGTTCCTTTGATATCAAGCATTTGTGAAAGATGTGTGATAATTGACAGAAAATAAACTTGTTTCATAGGTGAAATTCTGTTTTTAGTCATGTTAACATGACAGTTCTTGATATAGAGACAAACAGAAAAAACAGACACTATAAATACATGTACTATCATGGCAAAGCTCATTTGGGATGGGAGCTTCTTCTCAGCCTGTTTAGGAAAGGAAAGTAGTGGTCATAGTGAGAACATTGCTCCTGCAATATTAGAATTAACTTCTTAGACAGACAACGCCCATCTTCCAGTCCTACCATCCAACGTCAGGACTACCTGGAGCACCAAGTTCTGCCTTTACATGCCTGTTCAACATGGGTACAAGCATGAACACAGAAGTACACTACCTAGTCAAGGTAGTAAACTTTTTTTTTTTTTACAAGTACCTTTTTTTTTTTTAGCAGTTGCTACCTAGCCAATCTACAAAAGCAGAGCTTTTACAAGAGATCTGTTAGTATCAGGCTTTCTCCTTACTAAAGGACAGCTGCATCTTTTATCATCATTTAAATAAAGCAAGGCTTTGTTTAACAAATCAAGGGGTATTTCTCACTTCAGTGAGATGAGAACCGACAACTGACAGAAAGGAAGAATCCATCCAGCACAGTACTGCATTGCCAGCTCAATTTAGTACACAGCATTTCAGGAAGATGGCAAACCCACCCTTGTCTTCTTATCCCTGTCAATCAATCACACAGACACTAATGTGTTCAACGAGAAAATTTCACAATGCTAGGCTGCTAGTGCTTACTACTTCTGAAGTATAGAGTCTCACATTTTTATTTTAGAGAAACTTAAACTGATCTAGTTATATATTATCTAATAATGCCTCTATATAAACATGATGTCTATATTAGGAAATACAAAGCATTTTTATATGACCCTATGGGATACCTATTGAAAATTTAAAGTTATAATAATACATGCTCTTATGTGACTAGTCTAATACCTTATGATTCATCCGGCTTACTTGCCAAATTTAGACACGTACAATAAGGGCATTACTTCTTGTTCCGTATGTTGAAAATAAAACTCTGAAAAGGTCCAGAAAGAATTTATGATTAAGCTACTTTGGACTCTAGGTGTCACTGTAATTCCACAAACAGTAGGAACAGAAATATATTTTGCCTCCTCCTCCACCTTGCTTTGTTCTCTTAAAGCAAGTTTTATGTTATTCACAGAGACAGTTTCCACACACACCTTCCCATTGCATTATGTGTAATAACACAAAAATCTCACTTTGATTAAAAAAATTTCTCCATTTCTAGGAACTGATCTACACACTGATCAAACACCTTACCTGACTCATTTCTTCTCCATTTGTTCCCCCCTCTAAAATTCAAAATTTTTTCTAGGTGGGTCCAAACTGTTTTTAATCAGCTGCTACAAGAAGTTACTTGAGCCATGAAATATTCTCCTCTTTGAATGTTCCAAGTATATTTTTTTTGTTAAATATAAAGCATATGTACATATCTAACGCTTTTTAAAATGAACTGTCTTGTAGAACAGGTGAATGAAAATACACACATTCTAAAATCACTTGTATATCATGAAGACAGCTTGGCAGTTCATTGTCTATTTCTTTAGACTACAGTTAAATAGAACCTAAGTGGGAAAGCTTCAGTGGAATAACAGTAACTTTTGTGTGTGCCAGCTTGCATTGTCTAAAGAAGTTTATATGGGCCCATATCCGTGATAGTGATAAACAGACAAACTGAATATGTTTTTAAGTTTCAGAACACATTAATGAATCAAAACTGCCTCAAGCAAAGTAACTAATCTGCTACAAGTCACCACCACAAACAGAAGTATGACTTTGGTTTACAAGATATCTTACAACATATTTCAACTTTCAACAAGTAGGAATGAGAGTTCAACAATCAGAACAGGTTTCCAGTCCCTTGGGATTTATAAATGTAACACTCTCTTCTCCTGCCAATATACTGCAGGAGATTAATGATGAAGGATATGAGCAGACTTAAGAGTAGTTTCTTCCTTAAATTATCTACCTCCTGTTAAGCCAGGAAGTTGCATGTGATCTGTCACGTGGTTACCCAACAACATGCAGAAAAGTAGATGCTGGGTGCAATAGAGATTGCAAAACCCAATAGCACAGTTTTGCAGGCACACAAACAAAAAAGCCACCCAAATAATTTCTCAATTTCTGCTTCTAATATGCCAATGAAGGACTAGAGAGACACTGCTGTTATTTGGAATTTTAAAGAATTTTTAAAAGAGGAAGCCATATTGTTCCACATTATTGGAACAGTAAGTTGTAACCAAATGCGCTTGAAATACTGTACAGATGCATAAGTCAACCACCCCATCTCATTCAAGACATACTACTTTTCAGAATAGTTATGAAATTAGATGCTCAAATACTGTATTTTAAGCAATTCTTCATCTGACAGCATTATTTTTTATACTTAAAACTTCCCCCCCTGCCCTCCTCCTGCCAAAATACCACTGACATATAAAAAATGGAAAACAGATCCAGTTTGATGCAGCAATTGCCAGAATGTTAAGGTTATTAGGTCTGTATTTTCTGGGCATACGTGCCTTTCCACAGACAAGTCTTAATACTCAAGGACAGCCAGTGTCCAAATGATGACTGATGAACACCAGCCTTCTGGAATTCAAACCACCTTTAGAGTGCCTCAACCTGAATCCACAATCATTAGCACATCAAAAAAACCCCAAACTTTCTAGTCTCTTTTGAAGTTCAGTCAGAACAACAGATGCATCTGAAAATCTCATGTATTTCTAAAATGCAACAAGGGGAAATAATGGAGTTTTGGCACTGAATTTTACTTTTTCATTCCAGTCACTAATACAAAATAAATAGCAGTGGATACTTTGTATTAGTAGGGGTATATATTTTACTTTGAGAGGTCATGTTGGAAAGTGAACATTATCTCCCTGTAAGGTTTTAGGTGCGGTTCATCTGGAACACTTGAAACAGTTTGACCTGAACTGCTCTATTCAGCATTACAGACAGTTCTGAGGGGTTTGCTCATTGGTTGCTGGAGACAACTGGGGTTACCTATATGACAGCAGCAGAGGACCCTAATCAGAGATCAGTTTTCCCATGTTGCACCAACACAGCTCAAATGTGGCAACCTGCAGAACAGGATATGCGACTTCAATAACTGAACTTTCTGTTGGTGCCAAAATGTACATTGGGAAATTAAGAAAACAGCTTACATCATGTGGCCTATTTACTTATGATTTCATGCTTCTGAACATGCACCAGACAAGTTATATGTAAAAATCAAACATGCCAATTATTTATTAAACATTTAATTTGGGATACTACAACCTACAAAGGTTTTCTTTACCTGCCTAAATAGCTATTAATCTTTGTACTTACCATTTTCCACATATGGGTGAAATGGCAGAACTAATGCTAGAATGACTCTGCCTCTAGTTGGCTCCAGTACACTTCTAATATCTTTTAATACAGTCAGCGGCTGATCACAGCGATCCAGCAAATTCAAACAGCTGATAACATCATACTGAAATCC